TCGCTTTGGGTGCGAGAGGCTCCGGTTTCGATCACCGGCCGAGCCCATCTTTTTTTCTTTTCTTATTTTCTTATGCTCAATTATAGCAGTCAATTTATTATTAAGTATATATATATATATATAATTCTTCTTTTCTTTTAGATAAAGCAGAATAAGAATAAATCTAAATCATAATATTACAAGACTATTTTTATAAATTTATTTTTATTAAACTTGATCTTATATATTGATGACAATAATCACATCAACGATTTTTCTTTTTTTATTCACAAAACAACATAGTTTGTTTCGTTTTTCTTCTTGTTTAAGCTTTAACAGCAAAAGTACGTTGAGGAAAAGCCCATTGTCGTCGTTGAATTTTTTTCAATTGAACAGATTTTTCCTTTGGTGATAATAAACGTCGAATAGCTCGTGTTTTACGTTTACGTAAATCTTTTGGCTTATATTTTTTGCCATGATATAATGCACGTAAATTTGCTTTTGTTGTTTGATGTGTAACAATAAGAACACGTGCAATTGATTTTCGTACGTTTCGAATTTTGCCCAATTTTTGTGCACCACCACTGCCGGTTACCTTGCCTACACGAAGTGTATTAAGTTCTTGACGTAATTCGTTTAATTGCGTTTGAAGCTCATCTAAAAAAACATAACAATAAATAAGTAAATATATATCTATTTTATATTACAAACCAGGCTTCTTTCCGCGCAGTTTTGAGCACTTGACACGAGTCATTGTTTAATTGACTATCTGAAACATATAGAAATAATTATGGATTGATCGATAAAAATCAAATGAAATAAATAAAAAGTTTTCAAAAAAAAAATAATAACTCAAAATCATTTCTTCGTATTATATGACTGGTTGATATAAGTTCCAATTCGAATAGAAACTCTTCTATCTTGTCGTCATAACACATGATTATTCTAATCCAAAAATGTTGTAATTTATTTTAGTTTTATTTCATTTTTTCATAGTAAATTAATATTAACTGATGATAATTATTATGAAATAAATTTCATCAATAGATGTCATACTCATCTGATCATTACTTGCAAACTATATATTGCTGAAAAAATGCATGTTTATTATATTATAAAATAAAAATATTTTAGTTTTCCAATTCAGTATTTATAATAAAAGTTTGACGAAAATAAGACAGATGTGACTGTTTTATATTTCTTTCTTTTTTTGGTTAGTAGAAAAGAAAAAATACAGAATAATGTACAAGAAAAAGTAATGAAAACATCTTTTCAAAAAGAAAAAAGTCACACATAAAACTTGAGTAGTTTATGAAAACGCATTCTTTACTGTTTGTTTTGCTGTTTGTTTGACAACTTTTTTTGCAATCTACAATTATAAAAAATACAATTATAGTAATATTTATGTTTGTTTTGTATTCTTACTGATTTCGGACCAAGTCCTCCAACAGTATATGCTGTTAACGCAGTGTTTCCAACTGCATATGCTGCATTTTCTGTCAAAATGGAAGCATCATCACCAAACCTAAAGGAAATATATCATGAATTTTGTAAGAAAATAGAAGAGGAACATTAGTTCTTTACTTATATTTAATAACATTAACACTTTCGTTAGCTAAATTTGTTGCTAAATGTTTTGCAGCATTTTCACAACTTTCATAGACAATGCCAAAACCTTTTAGAAAATACTTAATTAAAAATAAATAAATAAATGATTATTAGACTTACTTGCCAATCCAGCATGTCCAATACCTTTCAAACCACTTAATTTCACTGTTTCAATACTACCATCTGGATTTGTCTTCTTTTGAACTTTACCAAAATTAGGTGCAAATGTTCGTGCTAAACCAAGAGTCATGTCACCTATTTTTGATACTAAATTCAACAGAGAACATTACTATATTATACAATCTCTTGAAACAAAAAACTAACCAACAAAACCACTTGCTTTAACAGCAACTTCTGATGTAGATCGTAGACCACGAGCAGTAGCATGTAAACCTTTATGTACTTTAACTGGTTCAGCATTTGGTACTAATTTTCCCTGTACATTTTTTGATACATGTCCTATTACATTTTCAGCCATACCAACACCAGTAGCTAACTGTTTTGTTAAAAATTTTGTTCCTAAATTAAAGTTCGTTTTAGATCAAAAATTTAGACAAAGATTTTCTCATGTTACCAGTCATAAGTGCAACTGCAACTTTTCCTGTTTTTCTTGTTGTATCGTATGGTAAGTCTTCTTGGGCTGTTGCTACGTCTTGTCCGATTATCGCTGCATTAGTATTTGTATCATTATTAGTTCTGGCTGTTAATGATTCACCATACTAAAAAATAGGAAGACATAAAAAAATAAAGATAAAAAAAAATCGCTAACAGTAGGTGTTCCTTGTTGAGCCATAAAAACTGATAATTTCGATAGAATATCTTCAAAGAAACTACGAGTATCAGTTGATATTGTTTCATCAAACATAAGACCGACAAATTCACCTTGAAAGAAAGTTATAAATATATGTAGGAAGAAAAAAAATCATTTTTTACTTACCAACTGATGTATTATTTGGAAAAATATATGCATCATAACCAGTTTTGAATGCTGGTGAAACTTTTGGATGTAATGGATAAATCCAACTACCTAGTTTTAATAATCCACATTTTTCTCCGTCTTCACTACAAATAAAGTTCAAAAGAACATAATTCTTTTTTTTTCTTATATTCAATAAATTAAACATACGTGACTTCGTATATTGTTAAAGGTAACGTTTCTGATGTTGTTTGTATTGATCCATCTTTTGCTAAATAAAATAGTTTTGCACCAGTATCAAGTTCAAATAAAACATTAGCATTGCTTTCTTTTTGATTTGCAGTAGCATCTATTGGTTGAAATGCTGATGGATCTTCAAAAACTTGCTGAGACATGTCAGCTAGATCTTGTTCATTGTTTGTATGCGGAATTTGAGATGATAAATCTCGAACCATATTTCGATATACATCATTAGAATTTGCTGTTTGATTTTTATTTAATGATAAATGAAGTAATTGTTGATTAGCATTACGTTTTATTGATATTAATTCATCATCAACAGCTGGTGTACCTTCACGTGAATTAATTATAGAAACAACACGTCTGTAAAGAACAGATGCTTCTTCATATTGTCGATTTCGTTCAAGATTAGATGCACGTTGTAAATATTCATTTGTTTCACGTTTAAGACTAGCTGGTGTAACTCCTGATGTTGGACGAAGTTTTTCTAGTGTAGCCATATTACAGTTTGTATTCTATTTTGAAATTATACGTCTATTGTATGAAGTAAAATATACGAGAATAGAAAGTAAAAACATGAGCTTATGTCAACAGAACTAGCATTGAGAGAAAAGAAAGAGAAATTGATTTCAGGTAACCATGGGTAAACATTAATCGTCTTTTGATGTAAATTTATATACATTCAAAATACGTATGAGATGTCGTTAGCTATTGAAACGAACGTCATCTGGTATAAGATTTCATACAAATAATGACTCATTTCCAAATCATAAAGTAGTTTGAAAAAAAGAAGAAAAATTATATACGCCGAAGTTGTTTGTCACATGTCGCGGAATTTTATTGAGTAGCAAGAGAAGTATTATTCAGTAAAAATGCCTACAGCAATACAGAACAAAAAGAATATTCTTTGTTGTTCGTCTCAAGCTCAGTCAAACATATAAATAGTTTTCTATTCATATTTGCAATAACATTCTTTTATTAATTAACAAAGTGTAATATACAATTAAAACTCTTACTATTTATGAAAGAATAACGTTATATTTTATCCTGATATATCACAATCAAATACAATAGAGACGATAAGAAATATAACATTTATTGATTGACACATACTAAATGATGAGAATTGAAGACAACATTTAGATAAGGATTAAAGATATTGTAAGATAACTATATATCAAGATCGAAATTAAAATCATGAAAACTTGATCTTTCACCTCCTGAGACGATTATTTATGAATAGAATTATATAATTGATTTATTTCAAATTTTCAACAAGGATTTTAATGATAATCTAAGTAAAGCAACAGTTTTTTGTATGAATAAATTACTATCTTTTTTATACTCTTAAACTAATAATCATTACTACAAAAAAAATAATGAACATGTCCTATCTTATATAATTGATTGAACTTAATTAAGATATTTTATAGTTTGATTAAATTCTTACATTTAACAGCAAACTTCTCCGAGATTATTCAATACAGATGCTGTATCGGTATGGTATGATGGTATATTATCTTTATAAACTTTCAATGCTTGTTGTAAATATTTTGATAGTTTTTCATTTTTTTTATAAATAATTCAAATACTAGCTGAAGGTTTGGCAGTACTTATTTTTTGTGCTGATTGGGGATGATGATGCATATCATATATATGTTTATAATAAATAAATGCTTGTTCGCATTTATTTTTACGACGAAAATTACGAGCTAAAAAACAATGAATACAAGCAACATCTTCATCATTTGAGTTTTTTTAAAGTACTGATTCAAAATATTGCTATGATTTACTTATTTCATCTATATTATTTAGTAAGGGATCAATATTAGAATGAATAACTTTTTTCTTTTGAAGTTAATACAAACTCTATTTATTAAACATTATGAATTGTAGCTATAGTTCTTAACTGTAGTCTACATATGTTTAATAAAGTTTCAAATCACTTCACAAATACGCGATATTTTTGTTTTGGTTATTTCTATTAGTGAATAATATATATTCATGTTTTTCAGAAAATTTTCTAGTAAATGGCATAACAATGTTTTCGTGTGGACAGGAAACGTCAGACTCACAGTACATATGTATGTGTGTGTAGTATACCTAGATCACAACTAGATC